GACAAGTTGATTCATTGTCCTGATTATTTATGCTCCTATTTTCAGTATTTAAAAAGTATAACATTCTTGTCTCTTGATAAACAGCATGTATATTTTAGTGTTCAGACTTAGTTATATTGTATATTTATTGAATGATTTTTTTGGTAATGATCTGTAAGAGAGTTTGGACAGAACTACACATATAGGGAGTAACTTTAGGATGTTTTTGGAAGCATAGACTGTTACTGAAGAACTGTTATAAGTCACCTGCAGGTCACCTAGATAAATGATTATTGTCTTTTCATGTCTTTGTAATACATTTCAGACAGATTGTGACAGTGAAATCCAAAGACTCAGAATGCAAGATTGATTCTTCTCAAGAAGGTACTTTTTACTATAAAGATATACACTGAGTGGCCAGATATGGTAAATGGAAATTAGGGTTGGCAATTATTTCTTTAAGTATTTTTTTTTTAGTGATTTTTAGTGGATAATGGAGGGGTTTAAATGCCAGGCGGAGGTGTTGTGACTTTTTGTATAGCAGTGGATACTTTGAACATTTTTTTTTAAAATTAGGGGGTTGTCATGAACAGAGCTATGCCCAGAAAAATTAAGTTGGGGCAGATATTGGGTGAGAAAGGGGAAGGTGACTGAGGTGGGAGTGGAAGGTGATTGAGGTAGGAAGGTCAGTTAAAGAGAGAGTATTTTTCTCAGGAAATATTGAGAACTTTAAGAAATAGGGCAGCAGTGGAGATGAAAAAGAATATATAGCTGTTAAAAATGAAGGCTCCTGGTCTCTACTGTAGACCAACTGAATCAGAATTTTCTAGATATGGAGAGTAAACAGTTGATTTTTTAAAAAAATCTTCATCCGAAGATATGTTTTTATTGATTTTAGAGGGAGAAAGAAAGAGGGAGAGAAACATTGATTTGATTACCTCCCATACCTGCTCCTAGGTGACACTTAAATCAACTGAGCCACACAGGGCTGGACAGCTGAGCTTTTAACAAGGTCCACTCAGTGATTCATATGTCTACTATACTGTAGAGATTTTCAACTAGTGTGCCACAAGAATTTTTAAAAGATGCAGTACCTGACTGTTCAGTCAGGGGCATGGACCTTTTTTCCTTTAGATTTTCAAATAAAAAAATGACAACAGCCAATACAACAATAACCATCTGGAGTGAATGAATCAAAATTATATCTTTTTTAAAAAATTAGATTGGCCATGCCGAGACCGGTTTGGCTCAATGGATAGAGTGTCGGCTTGGGGACTGAAGGGTCCTGGGTTCGATTCCCGTCAAGGGCATGTACCTTGGTTGAGGGCATATCCCCAGTAGGGGGTGTGCAAGAGGCAGCTGATCAATGATTCTCTCTCATCGAAGTTTCTAACTCTCTATCTCTTTCCCTTCCTCTCTGTACAAAATCAATAAAATATATATTTTTTAAAAATTAGATTGGCCAAAAATATAATATATATTTTGGTGTGCTGTAGAACTTTAGTAATTAATTTATGTGTCCCATGATATCAAAAAGGTTGAAAATTGCTGCTGTAATAGATAATATAAGAATAAAGTTGACTAGACTGGCAACTGATGGTATACTCAGAAAATTTCTATGTGACCAAGAGAATGGTGAAGCTCTTTTAAGATATTAGGGAACATAGGAAAGGGGGAAAATTTAGAGGTGCAGAGAATGTGTCCAGTTTGACATACTAGATCAAATTTGACTTGGCAGCAGAATACTTTGTGCAGTGGGATTGGTTGGGAAAGTAGAATGGTTACTCAGGGCAAAAGCTAGGGCAATAGATAAACAACCTTTAAAAAATACATTTGTGCCTGGCCATTGTTGCTCAATGGTTGAGTGTCAGCCTATGAACCAGGAGATCAAAGTTCGATTCCCAGTGAGGGAACATACCCAGGGTACAGGCTTGATTCCCAGTGTGGGGCGTGCAAGAGATAGCAGATCAATGATTATCTCTCGTCATTAAAAGTTCTATCTCTCTTTCTCTCTGAAGTCAATAAAATAAAATAAAATAGATCTGTGAGTATCTTTAGAATACTAGGCCACTTATTTGCTGTTTTAGTCTACTTTAGTGGAAACATATTTTGGTATTGGGAAGTAGCTATACTGAGAGAAAACAAGAAATCTGTTCAGTCCAGGCTTTCATGGAGACTTGTGTGCCCTCCACACAAGTTCTGAGATTCTGGAATCTAGGCAGCAGCCTGCATGATGTTGTTGTCTGGACCCAGTTATGACTGACTGAGGGAAGAGATGCATTACACTAGGTCTGGGGCACCAAATACTGAATAAAAAGAGAAGTACTGCTGTCTAGAGTCTTAACAGCTGAGATTGCTGACGTGGGACTGGAGCTACATCTGTGCAAAGTATGTGTCTTGTACTTAGAATTGTTACTCATTTCTTTGGAAAGGTGGTTTTTGTTATTGTGAATTGGTTTTGGTTTCTTGGATGGATCAGCAGCAGTAGAGGACCCATGCGCCATATTGAGGAGGTAGCCCGTCTCAGGTTAAAATGCTGGAGATTTTTCAGACACAAAGATTCTGTGCCTTTGATCTTCAAAATCTTAAGTCCCTGGTTTTTGGAGGGTCACAGCTTCAATTAGTAAGTATTTGATTAACTACATATGCCAGATGCCAATTCTAGAATGTCATAATTGTAAGAGTTTCATCAAAAGATTGATGGAACTTGGGGACTCAACAAGGGCTGAGTTATACATGTTATCGCCTGTTAGAATGGCTAAAGGCATTTCCCCCAAACCTGAATAGGATGATTGTTTGCTGCCAGACAGCTCAGGGCATCTTAATCTACATGTTATTGCCTCCTACTGACTATTCCCCAATCTGACAATGCTTCTGTACAGATACCCTACCCTTTGAAGTGTATATATTTGAAGTTTATCTATTGCCCCTCCACCTTGCTATAGGATAATATGTGTTAATAAAAAGCAAGGGGTCCTGAAACAAGGAGAACCTGGTATCTTCAGCCAGGCTCCTTTGACCCCCAGTGCCTTTCAAAATTATCTTTCATCTCTGGATTCTTATTCAGTTACACACAGCCTTTCTCCAGATTGCAGAACCCTTAAGGCTGGAACAAGAACTCCGGCATACATACACAGACCATCTAGTATGAAGTATGTTTGGGGGGGGGGGGGGGAAGTCTCTGACCTCAAGTAATTGCATTCTAGTTGGGAAAAAGAACAACACAATTAATGACTTGTGAACTTAATCATCATATTAGTTAACTGGACTTCTAGGTGCATGTTCCCCTGGCCATACCACAAGTCTTATTCTGGCATGATGAATTCATTCACCTCACTCTGACCACAACCCCACATCCTTACAATTCTCACTGAAAGTTACTTTTAAAACACAGGTTCTTTGACTTCATCAGACCTCAAGTCTAAAAACCTCTCTGTTTACATCTACATTAGTTTCAATTTAAATGCTGCAGCTCAAATATCAGCCATTCTTTAGATGATATCAACTTTAGCTTCCATCACCATACTTTAGTTTCAAGCCTAGGTATGTTCAGCTGTATGTTTTGTTCATGCCTGAGTCAGGAAATTGCTACAGAAAGCCAATCAACAGTGTCACTCTAAAACTTCATGGTATCTGCTGTCAACATTGACCACAAAAAACTGCTGTTTCCTTGTACTCTCACCTATCCTCCACATCTGCCATTTCTCTGTGTTTCTCAAACCACCCTACTCCCTCTCAATAAATGACCCTACTTCGTATAATTCAGAGAATGCAGCTCCCTTCACCTCTAGTCCTCCAACCTGTTAGCTCACTCCTTTGCACCTCCTCTCTTATTATGATGGAAGGGGTAGCCTGACCATCTATAGTGAAGCATTCTACCTAAATCACAGATATTTTTATTTTAGGGCCCAAAGAAGATCGAGTCTAAAGGCAGGGAGATTTATTAGGGGAAAGCTCTTTTTGTCATTTGTGGATTATTAAAAATGAGTGAAAAATCAGAGAGCTCTGAACCTGAGATATTAGGTTGAATACATATGCCTTTGACAGTAAAAGGGAAGACTAAGAGGGATGTGGTAATGAAGTTCATTTCAACAGCTGTTGAGTTTCTTTAGAAGTTACTGTCGTCTGCAGGTCCCTATAGTCTTGTCTGCCTGTCAGCTTTTTGTGCATATTGTAAAGGCTCAGATTGAGGTGGGGCTTTCTCTCAAATAGTATTTATTTCTTACTCTTATATTGTATGCCAGTATTTTTTTTCAACAATAACTGGTGGTGAGCCAATATGTTGGAATTTCTACCACCTATTTCTGTAGGACTAGTCATTAAATGGAATGGTAATCTCCCTCTCTGGAGCCTCAGAAAGCTGGGCACTATTTCTGCTTTGTGAAAAGGGATACTTTTTGTTTCTTCATCTGTTGTTATTAATCTTTTAGAATAATTTCTAAATTTCTAATTTCAAACAAGCAAGGTAGCCAAACACGAGTATTATATAGCGTATACAAATGGCCCATTTCCCTTTCAGAGCATGCATGCTGGGGCAGGACATATATATAAGGAAACTAGCCAAAACCGGTTTGACTCAGTGGCTAGAGCGTTGGCCTACAGACTGAAAGGTCCCGCGTTCAATTCCAGTCAAGGGCATGTTCCTTGGGTGTGGGCACATCCCCAGTAGGGGTTGTGCAAGAGGCAGCTGATCGATGATTCTCATCGATGTTTCTAACTCTCTATCCTTCTCTCTTCCTCTGTAAAAAAATCAATAAAATATATTTAAAATAAATAAAATAAAAGGAAACTGGACAAGTAAAGGCAATTTTTAGTTTTTCCAATTAACTTTATTCAGTTGCTTTTCAGTAAATGGCATTATTTAATTTTTAAGTTGACAGAGGTAAATCTAGTATATAAAAAGTTTAAATATTGGTTCTCTTCTCCTGGTGGCTAAACTTTTAAAACCTAATCCAAGTCAAATAGTATTACTGCTTATGCATTGTTGTTTTTTTTGTTGTTGTTTTGTTTTTATATTTTAGGAACCTGATTGCTCTCCTTCAACACGTTCAATATGAAGTTATTAGTAATACTTTTATTTTCTGGACTTATAACTGCTTGTAGAGGTAACTCTTCTTACAGTTTGCCACCGAAGTTATTACTAGTGTCCTTTGATGGCTTCAGAGCGGACTATCTACAGAACTATGAATTTCCTCATCTCCAGAATTTTATTAAAGAAGGTATCTTAGTGGAGCACGTTAAGAATGTTTTCATCACAAAGACATTTCCAAACCACTATAGTATTGTGACAGGCTTGTATGAAGAAAGCCATGGCATTGTAGCTAATTCCATGTATGATGTAATTACCAAGAAATATTTTTCTGACTTAAATGACAGGGATCCTTTTTGGTGGAATGAGGCAGTACCTATTTGGGTAACCAACGAGCTTCAAGAGAACAGATCAAGTGCTGCTGCTATGTGGCCTGGCACCGATATACCCATTCACAATACCACGCCTTCCTATTTTATGAATTATAGCTCCTCTGTATCATTTGAGGAGAGACTAAATAATATTACCATGTGGCTGAGCAATTCAAATCCACCAGTTACTTTTGCAGCACTCTATTGGGAAGAACCAGATGCAAGTGGACATAAATATGGACCCGAAGATAAAGTAAATATGAGCAGAGTGTTGAAAGAAATAGATGACCTTATTGGTGACTTAGTCCACAAACTCAAGATATTAGGATTGTGGGAGAATCTTAATGTGATCATTACAAGCGATCATGGGATGACCCAGTGTTCTAAGGAAAGACTGATAAACTTGGATCTCTGTCTCAATCGTTCAGACTACACTCTTATAGATTTGACTCCAGTTGCTGCAATACTTCCCAAAATAAGTAAGTAAATTTTAGCCAAGGGATATTTGAATGGGGCAATGGTTTGAGGGTTTTATAAGAGAATAAAGGTCTGGATTTTTGCAGTTAAGAACCATCTATTCTTACACTTACTCTAGAGTGGAATTATATGTTTTCCCCTATTTTACAAATTTTAAAACAAAACTATTAGCTTAAGACTTATATTGAGAATTATCATTTCTTTGCTTTTGGGTGTATTTTGTAATTAACACAAATGGAAAAAAGAAACTTTTACCCTTGAAAACATCCGGAATATTTGGGTGAGATATACCTTTTGTTTACTGATAGAATTAGTGATGAGTAGTAATATGTAATTAGTTAATATTTACTGAGGAAGCTAGATGTGAAAATTGTCCCCTTTGTATAAAAAGTCCACCAGGAATAATAACAATATGAAAAAAGAGCTATGTGAATACTTTGAAAAAAGTGTGTGTGTGTGTGTGTGTGTGTGTGTGTCTGTGTGTCCCAACACTGTCACATGATTATTCTCTCTCTTTTTTTTTTTTGAGAATTAAATAGATTATATTGTTCAGTATTTTTGTTTCCAGTTATTCTAGTTAGAAGTATTTATTCCTTATCAATCAATCATGACTTTTTTCTTTACTATCTCCTTTTTCTTCAGATAAAACAGAGGTTTATAACAAACTAAAAAACTGTAGCTCTCACATGAATGTTTATCTCAAAGAAGACATTCCTGCCAGGTTTCATTACCAACATAATGATCGAATTCAGCCTATTATTTTGGTTGCTGATGAAGGCTGGACAATTGTGCTCAATAATTCATCACTAAAATGTAAGTATTTAGGGTATTTCTCGTATGTCATAGGGATAAATCATAAATTGACATTGTTCTTTTAACAGAATATTTTCACTTAGAGATGTTGACCCAATGTAATTAGTTCAATTTCAACTAATACATCATTGGGAGTTCTTCATTTAATTCTCAGATTTTTATTTGATAGCATGTCACAATAACCACAATGTCACCCTTGCATTAGAAGGTTGGGTGACCCTAAGGGTAAAGGTATAGTTTTACTTTCTTACCAAAACTGCAGTTATTCTCAGTAACTTTTAAGATAGGTTCTCATTTGTAGAAAGTAAAAGATAAATAAGGAAACAAAAAAAAAAAAAAGAAAAGGAACAAAATACTATAAACAGGAAGAGATTAGCTAGTTCAAATTTCTCAATTTTTTATGTTAAAAAAAAAAATTTCCAGCCCTGGCTGGTTTGGCTCAGTGGATAGAGTATTGGCTTTTGGACTCAAGGGTCCTGGGTTTGATTTCAGTCAAGGGCACATGCCCAGGTTTTGGGCTTGATCCCCAAGTAGGGGATACACAGGAGGCAGCCAACCAATTATTCTCTCTCATCATTGATGTTCTATCTCTCCCTTCTTCTCTGATAATAAAAATATATTTAAAAAAAATTTGTCCAAGTAACCTTTTCCCAATGATGAAATTATTTACCTAAATGCTACAACATTTTTGTACATTGGACAAGAACCAGAAAGTAAACTTCCAAAAATGCACTGGGTAAACAAAATAGATGTATTGAAATCCCTCTTAAAACACAGATGATGTATAGGGGAGAGTTATAGGTCTTCCTGGAAACAAGCTTCTTTATCCATATGCTAAATTCAATTTGAATACTTTAAAAAGAATGCATGATTTTGTAGTCAATAGCAGGGGTCAGGACCCTTTCTGTAAATGGCCAGAGAGTAAATACACATTTTAGACTTTGTGGGCCAGCTGATCTGAACTGTTCAACTCTCCTTTACAATGGGAAAGCAGCCATGGATAATATCTGTAAATTGGCATGGGGTGTTCCACTGAAATTTTGTTTACAAAAGCAAGTAGAGAGCTGAATTTGGCAAGGGGATGTTGTTTGCAGTCCCTGATCTAAAGCAATTTAGAAAAGAATAAAACCAGAATCAATGGAACCAGATACTATTTTCCAGAGGCCAGTTGCATGAAATTTTTGCAAGAGTCGGCCTTCCTTCCCCCGACTGCTGGCACTGGCTTCCCTTTGGCAACAGGCAGGAACCCAGGACCTGGGCTTCCCTCCAGCTGCTGGCAGGCACCAGGGACTTGGGATTCCCTTGCAGCCCAGCCTTCATCCATAAGGTGGTCCAGAAGGATGTCCAATCTAATTAGCATATTATGCTTTGATTATTAGATATTTGTCATATACCCACTGTTAAAAACTTGGAAAATACAGAAATGTTTAGAAAAGAGAAGAAAAAGAATCAATTACCCCTTAATATTGAAGTACATACAGACAAATGTTAATTGTGGGAGTTTTTTGCCTTTCTAATATTTTTCCTATTACACATACTTGCATATTTTTACATTAATGAATAATATCTTTTTATGTATAGTGTTGTATTCCACTTTTTATTATATTGGTCATATGCATTTTTATTTATTTATTTTTTAAAATATATTTTATTGATTTTTTACAGAGAGGAAGGGAGAGAGAAAGAGAGCTAGAAACGTCGATGAGAGAGAGACATTGACCAGCTGCCTCTTGCACACCCCCTACTGGGGATGTGCCCGCAACCAATGTACATGCCCTTGACCGGAATCGAACTCGGGACCTTTCAGTCCGCAGACCGACGCTCTACCGCTGAGCCAAACCAGTTTCGGCGGTCATATGCATTTTTATTTTGAAATATTTTAAACATATAATTAAAGAATAATAAAACACTGGTATACTCATCACGTTGACCCTGCATTTCATGTGAAAGTGGAAGCTTATTAATTGCAAGTGATGTTCATTAAAAGGCAATATTTGTTGCCATAGCCGGTTTTGCTCAATGGATAGAGCAAACTAAAGGGTCCCAAATTTTATTGTGGTCAAGTGTACATGCCCAGTAGGGGGCGTGCTGGAAGCAGCCCAACAATGATTCTCATCATTGATGTTTCTATCTCTCTCTCCCTCCCTCTCTGAAATCAATACAAATGTAATAAAAAATATATAAATATAAAAGGCAATGTTTGTTAAAATAAAGCTAAATTTTGAGAATCTGGTATGTGGCTTTGGTTAGAGACCATCACATTTTTCTTTGAGTTAATCTTTCACTGGCATTATAAGTTGGAATCCTCTGGGTAGACTTCACATTTAGTATAAGAATCTCATCTGTGACGTTTGTAGTTACCTGGCCCTTCAGGTAGAGTTGTTCATTAACTGTCAATGAATGAGTAGTATTCTATATAATAAAAGCCTAATATGCTAAGTGTCCGACCTTTCGTTAGACCATTCAACCAGTCACTATGATGCGTACTGACCACTAGGGGCAGACACTCTGACCAGTAGGTTAGCTTGCTGCTGGGGTCCAGCCGATCGGGACTGGGCAAGATGGGCCGGAAATTTGCTGGAGCCCTCTTGTGGTTTCTCCCCAGCCTGTCAACTTCCCACAGTCCCTCCTCAACTGGCAGACCACGATTGGGACTGGGCTAGATGGGCCAGACATGCTCTGGAGCCCTCCTGTAATCCCTCCCCTCCCTGATCATGTACCGGTGGGGGTCCCTCGGCCTGGCCTGTGCCCTCTTGCAATGTCAGAGAGCCAGTTTCTGCCTAATTCCTGCAGGCCAGGCCACGGAACCCCACCATTGCATGAATACAAGCACTGGGCCTCTAATATTATATATCCCTATTTCTTATCACAGGAGCAATTGACATAGGTAAGTCTGCACATTCACTTCTTCACCATTCAGTGGTTTTAACTCACTCTTCCCCAGTTACTCAGGACTTTTCAGCCAGACCACATTTTCTCCCTGGTGCTGTTTATAGTGGGCTTTCGCAAATAGTGCTAGAAAGTAACAGGTAAAATAGGTGGGGCTAGGACTGAAAAATAAGTACGTAAGATTGAGAAATCATTTTAAAGCCACTATGATTGATTGAAAAAGGGATGTGTGTATGAAAAAGGGAACATGGCTGAGTTGAAGAAAATAGAAAATGGTATTTCTGGCCCCTGTCTGGTTCAACAGATCAGAATTCTAATGGTCTGGGAATTATACTGGCAAGACTAGTATAATTACATGCACAGCAAGTTATTTTCTAATAGATTATTTACTAACATTATTTTTGTTCTTTTTCAGTAGGTGACCATGGTTATGACAATTCCTTGTCTAGCATGCATCCATTTCTGGCTGCCCACGGTCCTGCATTTCACAAAGGCTACAAACAATGCACAATTGACAGTGTGGATATTTATCCAATGATGTGCCAAATCCTGGGCTTAAAACCACGTCCCAATAATGGAACCTTTGGTCATATTCAGTGTTTGTTAGTTGACCAGTGGTGCATTAGACTCCCAGAAGCCATTGGAATTGTTTTTGGTGTACTCTTGATCTTAACCATTCTAACGTGCCTCTTCATAATCATGCAGAATAGACTGTCTGCACCGCAGCCATTTTCCCGACTTCAGTTACAAGAAGATGATGATGATCCTTTAATTGGCTAATAATATGTGCTGGAGTTTCTAAAAAGTGTCTTTGTTTAGTCACAAAACCAAGGATACACCCAAATGTGTTATAACTATGAAAAAGCATATTTTGAAAGACAAAGAATTTATACGAAGCATGCTGAAATTGTGTTTTACTTTTCTTTGTGTTTTCTTTTGGTGCATTAGCTAATACCAAAAACAAAAACATCCTGAACATAGTAAAAATTGCTGGTATATTATTAGTTAACACTATTTCTCTAACTAGAAACATTTTTTTAAGAAAAATACTGCCTATGCCTTTCTTTGTGCAATGAAATTTGTCACATATTTAGATGAAAATATGACAAAATTTAGTAGGCATACTTTTCTAATAAATTTTTATATTTGTAAATGAAACAACAGAATCTTTATGTAACTAGTGGGATTTGTGCATCAGGGAGGAAAAGTTTCCTATATTTTTATATTGACCTTTAATGGAGTTTGTATTCCAAGTAAACTCTTGAGTTAGAAAATTATCTGTGTTAAATGAAATCAGTTAACCAGGCAGAAAAGATCAAGCATATAAAGATTATTTTAAGAAAAGTTATTATAAAAAACTATCAAAGACAATGTGTACAAAGCCCCTGTCTTCACCATTGTGTCTTTGTTAATACCCTTAAGCTGTTGAAATCTCAGAAGTTTTCTTTTGAAGATTATTGCTAATAAATTAAGAAAATAGAGAAAAGTGGATTTCTCTGTGCTTAATGGCTTTGTGTAAGTTATTTGTGTGTGTGTGCAAGTGTGTTAGCATGTATGGGTGTGCAGACTATGCAACTTATAGAAGGAGATCAGAGATGGACTTGACCATAGGTAGGCTTCCGCATTCCCATAGAACCCAGCTCTTAGGAAAGGTTATATTTTCATTCATATTTGTTTACCTTCTAACAAGTTCAAATCATAATTTTAAAAATGCATTTGTTTTTGTTACCATTTTTAACCTTCTCAGGTTGATTATAATTAGAAGTATTAAAGAGCTATAGAAAAAGTTATTTCTGGTTTTGATGAGTTAGAATGAGAAAAAGATATTTTTATGTTAACCTTTGGGACTTTGATGCCTTACTCTTTAGGCAACAGAGTAGTTATATTTAAAGTGGAATTTAGTATCTGTTGCTGTTTTACATTATTATGTTAAATGACAGAATAAGCTCTCAACAATGCCTAACGTTTCCTAACTTGAGTGATTGGTAGAACCTTCTAATAATCAAAATTAATATGAAGAAACTGAGTTGTGACAGACTAGATTATATCTATTAGAGTAGGGGTGTCGAACTCAATCAGAGAAGGGGCCAAAATCTAAAATCCAGCCTAAATCGCGGGCCGAATGGTTTACTGAACAGTCATAAACTGTCATTGTGATGGAAACGCAACGGAGTGCAGTGATGACAGGGCGGTGCGGGCCACATTGCAAGGCCTGGCGGGACGGATTTGGCCCGCGGGCCTTGTGTTTGAAAACTTGGGTTCAGGAACCATTCATTGGAAGTTGAGGCAAGCAATTGATATTAATAGTGTAATCTTTAAAGTTTTGACAATACAAAATAAAGTAGGCACCCACTTTGCAGATACAGAAGTGATTTACAGTAAATATGCAGCCCAGTTAAATGTTGATTGTCTGTGATGGTTAAGAGCAATGGTGCTAATCATCAACTGTTTAATTCACCCTGTCTGGTTCTGCTGGTTTCCTGATCTTGGTATTTAGTGCGTATTGTATCTGGGGTTCTTGAGAAGCATTTCCACATCCTGCATAAATAGGTGACACTGATAGTAATCATAAGTTGACTGTAGTAACAACATAATACATAAGTGCAATAAAGCCAGTAGGGCTAATTTTGCTTTTTGACACATTTTATTTCTGAAGTTTTTCCTCACATAAAAGTTATCTTAAAGGTAATAGTTGATTTGAATGAAATAATACAAAATTTTCTTTTCTACTTCAATTGCCATTAAAAAATAACAAAGAATAGAACAGTCACATTTGAAGCCCTGGACATTTTAAAAATAGTAGGAGAGTATTTTATACTATTTGAGTAGTCTTTGCTACTTAGAATGGTGAGTCTTAGTGACTGCATTAGCTTGATAGGAGGTATGATTTTCAGTGAACTTACGTGGCATCCAAACGGAATAGATTTTATATAGGATGAAATAAGAAGGGATGCTGTCTATGTCTTACCCCCTGTTCAAAAGACATTTACCTATTTGTCTTATCAGTCTCAAAATATTAACTTTAATTGAAATTATAAACTTTATATATATATATATATATATATTCATGAATAGAATTTAATCAAAGAGGTGTTTATGTATTATTATATTGAACTCTGTGTTAATTCATTTGTATTTATAATATTGCTGTTAAAGCTAATGATCCTCCAATACACTGAAAAAATCTTTTAGTAAAGCTAGGCTTTTACAGTAAGGTTTTTATGTATTTTGTTATGTAATTGACAAATATACCTTGATGTTTCCTGGGTAATAGAAAGTATTTGGCTGTTTACGACATTTAACTGTTTATGACAATACTCAAGGTAATAGGATAATTTTTATTAGGTGTTTTTTTTTTTATTCAGTGAGTAAATTCAGAATAAGTACATTAACTTATAACAGGGACAGTTCTGTTGTCAATAACATGCAGGTTCTCTAGTCCATGCTCTGTACTATAGGCTTTGTGTTATTGTTCCATTAAGCTTGATCTAAGAAGTTAAAGATAAATGTTTGGAACATTAAAGGATTAAAAATGCCTTTGCATTAACCTTGGGTTTCTATCTTTCTAGCCTGTATCTGGTAAGCTTTAAGGGTGAATGCATTTAATTTCTTTTATTTGGAGGTTTTTACTTCATTGTGAATATGTAAAGCTACAAATGAAGGACAAAGATGAGATGAGAAGTGTCTATTGTCAATTCTTAAAATAGTGTGTAAATAAAATGACATAATGTGCTTTAAAAAAATTGTAATATAGTGCCTTAAGTTGAAGTAAAATGTATTTTGATTTATTGTTTGAATTCATAGTTAATGACCCTGATTTTAAAATGTATCTGAATAAAATTTACCAAAACATTTTTTTGTATTACTAAGTATAGAATCCAACCTCATTGTTATTTTTTGTCACCATGCACAATATACATATTGTAACAGATTTTGATGATTTAGTAATATTGTATAAGTTCTCATAAGCATTCATTACAGATTTTTTTAAACCCAAGATTAAGTGTATAACATTTAAAACAGTATATAAATAAAGAATAAAATATACTTCCTTTACTCTGGAAGAGTTCAGTAACATTTCAAAAGTGGTAAAAATAAATTACTTAGGTCCACTATGTTTCTGATTTAAAAAAAAAAAAGAAAAAAAAGAAAAATCTTAAATATTTAGAAGTTAATATACTTTTAAATATAAATCAAATGAGAATATATTAAACTGAGTTGAATGATAAATCAAAGTCTGTAGTTTGCAGCTAACGCAGTACTTAGGGGGAAATTTATAGCCTTGATTGCCTGTTTTTGATGTAGAAAGTCCAAAGTGAGTGGAAGAAGAAAAAAAGAATCAATGAAATAGAAAAGCAAAATAAAATTAATAAATCCAAATTTTGTTTTTTAAAATAATAAATTGATAAGCCTCTTTAAAAAGTGACTAAGAACAAAAAAGGAGCTAACACAAATGAGCAATATCAGTAATACAAGTGGGGCCATCACTACTGAACTGTATATATATAAAAGATTTAAAGGAATATGGCAATAAATATTTGGATAAAATGGCAAATTTCTCAAAAAATACAACTTATCAAAATGATACAAAATCAAATGGCTAATTTAATAGTCATATCTATCACAAATCAGTTTGTTATAACAGCCCTATAAAGAAAATTCCAACTCCAGGTGGTTTTACTGATTAGTTATATCACATTTAAGGCAGAAATGCTTTTTATAAACTTTTACAGAAAACAGAGAAAAAAACACATCCTAACTGGTTTAATGAGGCTAGTGTAACACCATTACCAAAATCTGACAAAAATTTAAAAAACAACATAGGCAACCCCTATGAACAAAAATTCCTCAATGAAATATTATCTAATTAAATTTAGCAGTATTTCAAAAGGTAAATACACATGAACAAATGGAATTTATCCCAGAAATGTACATTGATATTTGAAAATCAATGTTATTTATATTAATAGGGAAAAGAAAAATATGGTTGTGTTAATAAATGTGGGAAAAGCATTTGGCAAAATTTGCCAGCTGTTTATTATTCAAAACAAAATAACTCAAAAAATTTGGAATAGAAGGGAACTTAAAGTTGATAATTAACACACACATACATTTATATATTATATATATATATATGTATATATATATATATATATATATAGCCACATATAATATCACATCTTTTTGCCACAAATTTTCAATAATATCATACAGAATTATAATTTTTAATAGCATAAACCCACACCTAATGGACTGAATGATGAAATAGTAAACGTTTTTTCTCCAAAATCAGGAACAAGCCAAAGCTGTCCACTCCAAACACTCCTATTTAATATTCCACTGGAGGTCCAAGCAAGTGCAGTAAGACAAGAAATAAAATAACTGAAAAATAATAAAACTGTCATATTTATAGATGAGTCAATTGCATATATAGAAAACCCAAAGGAATCAGATAAAGTAAAAGTGAGCTTAACAAAATTGCTGTATATAAGGTCAGTCAATGTGTAAAAATCAAGTGTATTTGTATATCAGAAAACAAAAAAACGAAAACTTAAATCTGGTATCATTAAGCATGAAATCTCTAAGAAGTCAAAATGCATACAGAATTTTTGCACAAGAAATTATAGCAATGAGAAGAATTAAGAAAGACAAAAAAAAAAAATAAGAATTAAAGAAGACAAAACAACAAACAAAAAACCCAGAAAGCTATATCAGGTTTATAGTTTGGAAGATTCAATATTGTAAAGATGGCAATTCTCAAATTTGTCATTGCATCTAAGCATTTCGAGCAGGGTTTTATTTTTTATGGAGTTGTATAAGCTGACTCAAAAATTTGTAGAAACATGAAGGGTCAAGACAATATTGAGTTAAAATAAAGTTAGAGGACTCACTCTCTGTGATGTCAAGAACTATCATAAAGTTATAACAAAACTAGGGTGTTGATACAAGGATAGACAAATAGATGAACAGAAGAGACGACCTTTGTTAAAATGAAGAATCCATATACATGTGAATGTATTAGACATCTTTTGTATATCACCTCAAATTTACTCAACTCACCCTTTACTCCAGTTTCATCTTGATTTAGACCAACTTCCCACAGATGCAACTTAACAATGCTTAGCCTCTTTCTTCAGGGCACAGGCACGATGGCATTGGGTGCCTACGAGATCACATTCGGCATTTGTGCATGAACTACTCAGATATACTGGAGTTATACCCATGAACTACTCAGCAAGTGGGATTGGAGGCCAATGGGTAAATGCTTTGCTTTCCTCCCCCATTCCCCACGCGGTCAATTCCGAGGTACATTTCCTACGGTTCCTCTGAAGACCTGTGGGATTGCGCACTCATACCAGTTCTCTAACTTACGCTTATATAGGCTTTGTCTTCATTTCTCCTTTACTCTCTGTCCCTCTCTCATTTCTTGGGATCACTTTACAAATAAATTGTCGACATAATAAGCCTTTGTCTCAGACTCTAATAATGGGAAAAAACTCAGGTTCAACAGTAGATTCATATAATATATTCAATAAAAAAATGTATACATATATTCACCAAATGACGGAAAAGAATGCTCATAGCAGCAGTACTCATAGTAATATCAAATAGGAAATGGTTCAAATATCCAAAAACAATATATAGTGTTGTATATTCATGTGATTTCATGTGAAACAATGAAAATAAACTACTGCTACACACAAAACATGGATGATTCTCATAAAATCTTGAGTGGAAAAAGCCAAACAAAAATGAATA